TATTAAACATGAGATTGTATTATACATGAATAAATACGGTAATCTGTCAACTGCAAAAAAAACTTGATGCTTAACAGGTGAAAGGGAACATTTTCACATTTTTTTGTCTTGTGCTTGCACACGTGGAGAAGGACAGTTCATGGATTGAATGACCATTAAAAAGACTAACTAAAGACAATCAATGTTCTTTATGTCTGTTTATAGCAGTACTAACCTGTTTCAACTCGTTAAACTGTCAAAACCTCATCTAAAGGTGCCAACACAAACCTTGTCCCTCAGTTTCTTATTAGTCCTGAAAAATATTACATAATCATCAAACTTGACCTCTGCCTGGACCCTCATCTTCAAAAAAAAAAAAAGAGAAAAAGGAAACTAACATAGCTTTTAGATTGAACAGTATTACTCACCCAAACAGTGAATCAGAGGATCATTTTTCAGACTCAGTACATTAAACATGGTTTGAATGAATTTGTCAAACACTCATTTAAATTTATAGGGGCAATTGACACGCCTAGGAAGGCAGAATGAACCCAAATGCAGGCAGGCAGGTTTCTAAATAATGAAAAGTATTTATTAAAGAAAATAAAGAGCTGGCTTGGCAGCAATCAAAGTCTATGGCTTGGATAAAAAAAAACTAAAACAAGAACAAGAGGACCAGGACAGAAACCAAACAGAAACAAACAATGAACGGACGGAGTGGTGGAGGGAGGCTGGTTAAATACAAACAGGGCTGAATGGAAATGGGAAACAGCTGGGTGATTACAAACAGCGACAGGTGTGAGAAGAATGAGCTAGAAACAGCAAGACTGAGGAACGTGATGAGCATGAAGAGACACAAGACAGACACCAGAGGGAGGCATAGCAGACACAACGCAGATCTTCACAGTACCCTCCCCCAAAGATCRTCTCCAGACGATAACCACATAACAAGGGAGGGCGGAGGGGGTACCAACAACAAAACAGGATGGAGGGCAAGAGACAAGGAACCACAAGAAATGCAGACAGAAAGGTAATGAAAGAAAAATAAAAAAAGGCAAAAGGCAAACCAAAAACCGACAGGTAACCCTGGGCAAAAACAAAAAAACAACAGTTCAGCTGGGCGGTCAGGGGCAACGAGATAGTTTGGACGGACGGACGGACGGATGGATGAAAGGATGGATGTTAGGATGGATGGATGAATGGATGATAGATGGATGGAAGGATGGATGGATGGATGGATGGATGGAAGAATGGATGGAAGGATGGATGGATGGATAGATGGAAGGATGGATGGATGGATGGATGGATGGATGGATGGATGGTCAGTCTTCATTACTCCCTAAAAAAACATCTAATAACCAACAGCTACATGATCTAAACTAATTAAAATCAAACTGCACTGGTGTGGTTAGCTCTGTTTATCTTTTGTAATTTAGAAACAAATGTGATTTAGTGACTTAAAGTTTAGGCTTTACAGTGGTACAGCTGGTTAGCACTACTGCTTTACAACAACAAGGTCCTTGGTTGGCTTTGCACAGCTGGGGTCCTTTCTGTGTGCAGTTGGAATGGTCTCTGGGAATGGTTACTCCAGGGTAACTGAAAAGTGTCAAGATTCAGGAGGAGCAGTGTGGCTTTGGTCCTGGACATAGAACACTGGAAAGGAGTTTACTTTTGCAGGGATGCTGAGGTGGTCATGGGAGTTTGATTCTTCAGTCTACATATACTTTGTGAATCAGTGTAAGACAGTTTTTCTTGAGGTACTTTATGAGATCATGGTATTCAGCTGAAAAAAAATTAAAATGCTTTCTCCTGATCAGAAGATGAGTCGTTGCCTCAAGCAGAAGAGTTCGTCAAAAATATTGTTCATGAGTGATGGTAGGAAAAAGCAGGGTATGGATTGGTGGATCAAGGCCTCTTCGTCCGTAATGGGGGAAAAACTTTGGTCAGTCATGGTGTAGGAAGAGCCTTAGAGATAAAATAAGGAGCTCCATCATTCAGGAGGAACTTGAATTAGAGCTGCTGAAACACCAAACTAAATGAAGTCAGTTTAGTTGGCTCAGACATCTGATTGGGATGCCTCTTAAAGGCCTACATCTGAAGGTTTTACAAAGTCCCACAGGGAGGAGAGCCTGGGGCTGACCCAGAACTTGC